ATTTAGAAGTGGTTTGTGAAGGACTTGGAGGATACAGTTATTTATTACATCGCCGTTAGAGGGCAGAGTCCCATTTTAGAAGCTTTGCATATGAAGGAGAAAGACAGTTGTCTCGTGAGCTTGCAGGCTGCAAGAGCAGTCCAAACAAACTGACAAGCGTAGCAGTGTTCACCTTTGTGTTCTGGCTACAGCCCGCAGTAAGTATTTTTATTTTTGAGGTTGAATTTCATTTTAATGGGTATTCTCAAGGGACTTAGTCTACCGCTTTGTCTCCCAAATTAGCAGAGGGGACTTTATTCTTCAGTGGCCAGTTATCTGACAGCCAATAATGTGGTATATATAAGCATAAAGACTGCCTTTTGAGAAATCTCATTCACTGCAGAGTGACTTAGCGCATCTCCTCAGCAGTGCTGGGGATGCAGGTGAAGTGTCAGTGATGTTCTGCATTTACCATCAACTGATAGGATGGAAAGTTAAATCTGAGCCTCGTCCTCACAAGGTATTTATTAGCCTTGGATCAGCTAACCTTAAAGGCTTGCCTTGTTACAAAACAGTTTATATGACACTCTGAAAATTTTTACAGGAAACATTCTGAGAGAGAGAGAGGGCTTTTCTGGGACCTGCATAGAGGCTGAAGATCACACAGTGTACTGTGTACATTTAAGGAAGGCAGGTTTCTTTAGCTTTAAGTCTTTATTTGATACATAGTTCTGTCTCTATTGATCTGCTTTTTGGCATGCTTTCAAGATACTGTAATACTGACAATTACTTGACACAAGAAGAAACTTAACAACAGGACAATGTAAGTGGTCAGCTATCCCAGAAAGAAGACAGCAGCCAGAGAAACAATATTGTATCCTGGCATTTAATGAATCATCTACTCCATAGTAAGGATATACTGGCTCTTAACCTTTGCTAAGTTGCACCAGGCATTATGTGTTCCTTTTCATTAGTGTCTGGATTTAGTTGATGGGTCCGTTCACTAACTAGACTAGACTAGACTAACTTCAGTAACTTCAGTACTAGAGCAGTAGCTCCATGAGCAGGTCAAGAAGTCTGTTTTGATCTGCAGTGACAACAGCTCAGGGTGGGGATAATAGTATTGAGGTTCTAGCAGAGAGAATACCTATCATTTGACCTTTCCATCCACCCAGCATCACGAGGACTGTTTGATAAAAAGTGGGACCAGGTTTTGCTTTCCAGACTTCCCAATGCTGTTTCCCTTTTGACATCTCAGATAAAATTTCTCCTTAGCAGCTGAAGGGAGATGGCAGGCAGTGACAAAATATGAAAGATGTTTAAACATTTCAAAACATTTGATAAAATAAATCAAAAGTCTATTTTCTTTAAGAAAACAATTATTAGAATGTTTTTGAAGTTGTTTTTTTCTGGCAACTGGACAAAAACCAGCTGCAAAGGGGCAAGTGGTGCAGAAGAAGTCCTTGGTTTTCCTGAGACAGTTGTCAGTTTATAAAATTAAAAGATGTTCATATTTAAAAGTGTGACTTTTGTTTGCTTTTTCTGTTATTTCTTCCTCCCCTGTTCAGAATCCTGTCACACCTCAGACACTTCTTTGTGAACCAAAGGTTTCATGGATACTACTCTTAGTCCTATCCAGTGCCAGGGGAGAATATCTACAGTGCCATGCTGTGTGATTAGTATATGTTGACCCTGTGCACTTTAAAGCACCCCACTCCTTGAAAGTCATGAGCCCTACTGACAGCAAAGCGGCCTTTATATCCATTTCTGGGAGGGCAGAAAGGCAATAGCTGGGTTTCCTTTTTCCAAGCTATCTTCAGCATTTTCAGACTGTAAAGAAATGTGAGACTTACACAGTCGTGCCTTCCTGTTACTGTACTGGAACCATCTGCTAAAGCCACCTGTTGGAGGAGATGGAAGTCTGGTTTTACGATGTGCCTTGTAAGTGCACGTGGTATCACAATTGCGCTGAAGTTTTAACAAGGTTGCCAAGCATGCCACAGTCAACTCTCTGAGCAGAATGGCATACGGCTCTGAGGAGCATTCCAGGAGACCCCTTGGGACATGCATTTTTATCATCAGTATTAACATGCACTAGCAGTACCTGAAATTGCATAGTGCCAAAAGGCTGAAAAGTAATTTCAACTGATGCAGGCTCAGTGCTGTACCTTACAATTAATGTAATCACTACAAGACTTCTGTGTGTCCACATGCTGCATTGCTCCATCTGGTAGGAAAACTAGTCCACTGCTGCTTGCCTGCTGATCTCTGCTGATGTTTTGCAAGCAGCATAGCTACTCAGCACTGCAACAATGTCTGGAATGTCTTTTTAGTCTCCTGAGCGACAAGCGTAGTTATTCTGTAATTATTCTGTCTTTGATCTGCTGTCCAGAGAGTGAAAATCAACAAATGCCACAGTCTTCTGGAGGTCCTTCTATTTAAATGGTCAAAAATTGGGATGCACAACCAGTAGAAATAGTAGAAACGGTGTATTGCAGAAACAAATCATACTGCACAGTGAAAGTCACCTGCCTCAGTGAAATCTGATTACCGTGCCTCTCTCAAATGCAGTGGAGAGTATACAGGCATTAATGAGGGGAAAATGCTGGAACTGTACAGCCCTCAGAGAAGTCCAAGTAACTTAGGAAAATTGCTCATCAAAGGCACACTAAAACCCTTGCTTTGGCAGCTGAAATGTCCTTGCTAATGTCATGCATTTAGTACAGCTGTGTTTTAGTCTGGCACCCAGCTGTGTTTGCTTTGTAGTCTGAAAGCAGATACTTCGCACTATGATATGTAAGTAAGTGTTTTAAAAACAGCTAAAGATGCTCATGAGGTTCTGAAGAAGACACAGAAAGCCAAAGTCCATGGATTAAGTTTGCACAAGCAACTGTAGCACTTTTGGGTTGGTCCATCAGCTAATTCACACAAAGCACGAAACACATACTTTGCTCTTTGGAAACAGAATGATGCCCAAAACACTGACTGTATGGTACACTCCAGTTTGGTGTAAAATCATACTGAGTTTACATTTTCCAGAATGAGCAAGGCAACAAGGACATGGGTAATGCAGCCAATTTTCTGCTACTCTCATAACCGAGGGAAGCTTTTGTGTGCACAGCCTTCCTCCTGGTCCCATACAGGTATCAGCAGTACTGTAAGCAAACCAAAGATCATTATGAATCTTTAACTTTTAGCTGAAGAGGATCTTGTTTGAGAGCTCACTTTTTTTTTTTTGTTTAAAAAGAGATAGTACCTCCCCACACAATCAGGCTTTGCTTTTACAATCAGGCCACCATTGCTACAACTCCTAATTTAAATGGACTGTCCCATACCCGGTCACAGCACAAAGGCCTCCATTGAGAACCTTTCACAATGAAGATCAGCAGACTGCCCAGACTTGCACAGACTACACCCAATGCCAACATGCTGCTGCAGCATCACTGCTCTGCAGAGGAACAAGCTTGCCCATGTGACAGGTACCACCAGATGAATCCTCTTGTCAACCCCAACAGACAATCCCTTGTCCCTTCTCAAATACTTGCCCGTAAACTAAGTGTTGTCTTCTTGACCAGCCGCAAAAAAAAAGGTTCCTCTCAGAGGCAGAAGGATGCAGGGCAGTACTCAGGTTCCTATCTCTAATGAACTCGTGGCCTTGACACCATCCCCCTTCAGCTCTACATACGCTCATCACCATTTCAGGCCAGTATGGTCTGTCTGCCACCTGACCACAGGCTAAATGAAGCCAGTCATATTCCAGGATGTATTCAGTAGAGTCTACAGCTTCTCTCAATGCTGCTGGTGTGCATACAGCTGGAATTTTGTTTAAAAGATGGGAATTGTCCATGTTTTTTGAGATTCCATTGATAGTTTTCTTCAGCCCTGTTACTGCTACAGAAATAAACAGTGGTGGGAAGAGGACTGAGTCTGCTCAGCTAGGCTAGACACAGTGCAAAAGTGTCATGCCAAGTCACAGAACAGTGGCAGATGCTCACCAGAAAAGAGTCTGTTCTGAAGCACAGACAAGGAGTTAGATTCACCCAGAGAAAGTTAACTGCCTTTTTGCTCTGTTGAATATGGCATAAGTAACAAAAACAATTTTCAGACAGCATGAGTACAGTATGAGTATACTACAACACACTGACTACTCACAGGCACCTCAGTGCAAGAGAAAACACAGACACATTGGTGCACTGAGGTGACAAACAACTTGGAGCACCTCTCCTACAGTGCTGAGACTGTTAAGTCCGGAGAAGTGGCGGTTCCCACTTATCAGGGATTTTATCAAAGTGTATGAATAGCTGGAGGGACAGCATAAAGAAGATGCAGTCAGACTCTTTTTAGAAACGCTCAGTGCCAGGACAGGGCGCAATGCATGTAAACTGGCACACAGAAAGCTTCCTCTGTACTCCATGTTAGTCTGCATAAGGAATCCTCCCCAAACTAAGCTAGGCTTTCAGCTCATGCACACAAGATTAAGAAATCCTACACATTAGCTAAGCTACTATATCAACCAGAGCAAAGCTGGAATCTGATCTGAATGCTGGCATCTGATGCAGCCTCCACACCAAAGGGCTCCGCATGTGAAACTGGTATTGAATAATTACATGGCAAAACAGATATCCCAACAAGCAGATGGATGTCAGAGTTTGTAACTACTCAATGCCCTTGTGGTATTTTTTGTACCTAAAACCTATAGCAGGAGTGAGTTTGTCACCTAGCAGAAAACTATCAACAAGGTAGCGTCCTTGGTTCAAACAGAACTAAGATAAGCCGCTTAACAGGCCTGGTGCTCCAGTTTCCCAAAGCTTCTGCCTTGTGTAATAAATTGGATAAGGAAGCAGTTCTAACTAAAGCTCTCAAGAGCTTTAAGAAAGCTTACAGAGAGACAAGCAGGACAGCCTCTGAGAAACTAGAGATACTGCTGGCTAGTCATTCACTAGCACAGAGAAACATTTGATTTAAACACTCCCTGTGAAAAGAGTGCAGGAGAGCTTCTGAATTCATCCAGAATCAACACATTTTGCAGTTTAACACATCTTTAATATCAGTAACGCTGGAAGTGACTTCTCAGTGCAAATAGCACAGACTACAGTTCAGGAGGTTCTCTCATTTAAAACAAAGACATGAGGAAGAACATGCAATGAAACAGTGATCAGCTCTAGATACATCATGTTTGGTCCAACAAAAACATAGAAACAATTAATCCAATTACAGCAAACATAGCTTCTCTGAGTAAGGTTAAGATATTGCATTTGTAGTGTTTCCATTGTGCCTTTCTTCAGCGAACCAGCGGAGCCTGCTTGAGTGAGATGAGGACTGAACGCATGCGGGACACATCTTTAGCCTGCTTACTAGACTTGGGATTAAAGTCACAGAGCTGAGCCACGCGTTCCCACTCAGTGCCTGGAAAAACGTCTTCTGCATCACTCACAAAGGCTTCTTCAGCTGCCCTGAAAGCAATGCAATGGACCTTGTGTTAATGCCCAACATAAGGCACTCCTTCCCACTTACAGGATGCAGTTCCTTTCAGCACGTTTCGTAAGAAATGTGACCTGACAGCTGCTTGTGAACATCATGGCTAATTAAGCTCCCACTGCCCCAGCCCTGGAGATGGAAATAGGTTGCAGTAGTATGCTATGCACAAGCAGTGCAAAAGATTGCTGTGTAAAATGTTGGAATACAGGTGTTTGGTTTTAAGAGTAGTCACTGAGTCTTTGCCTACAGGAGTCACCAAACTCCCAGAAGGTAAGGTACTCCTGTGCAGACATTTTATTTATGGAAAAATGCCCAGGTCTTAAATATTTAAGCTTCTGTCACTCGATGGCTTACTTTGGACACTTGCCAACCAGAAATTTACAGTTCCCTGCAAGCATGTCTTAGAATAGATTCCATTTGAGGATTTAAATCAGTCCCAAGGCCTTCAGGCCATCATAAAACTATCTGCTGATGTTTCCCAATGCTGTATGGAAGCAGCATTAATCACAAGGAACTAAGTAATGAATTCCATGCCTGTGGGTGCTGTAGTCTAAAGCACATCTTGGCAGATAGGATTAGTCATCTAAAGTCAGCTAGCAGGATAAACATGTTTCCCCTCTTCTTACCCTAAGGATACTCTAAGGAAGCTTTATACAATATGTACAGGTTAGCACCAGAGGCTTCCCAGCAGTATCCTTTTGGCATTTCTGTGCTACCAACAGCATTGCTTCAATGCACGTGTAACAATCCAGTATCATTTACTGGAACTCTGGGGCCCTGGTAGCTGCCTGAGTAAAAGAGCAGTAAGCATTGAGAGATCAAACCAAATCCATCTACTCCAACAAGCAGTACAGAAAAAGCAGTGAGGATGACTCCCCCATGAGGGTTCAGCACTGTTCACAGGGATGATAAGGTTACAGACACCACTGAAGACAAGGATCACTACAACACTGCTACTTTATGTGACATGACACTTTTAACGGGCAGTGAAGGTTTTTTACTTAACTGTTCTAGGCTGTAGCAAGGATGATTTATGTTTGTGCTTAAAGGTGAAGAGAAGAAAAGAAACGAGAGAAAGTTTAAGTCAGATATAGAAAATGAGAATGAGTTTAATGCAGATGGTCAGCTGGCTCAACATGCACTAGCAGTTTGGCCTACATTCAGGAAGCATGCTGCCAATTTTATTCTGCAGCACTTGCACTGCACATTTGCTACAGGAAAAGAAGGATTTTATTGGAAAAAATTTAAGTTAACTCCAGGAAACTTCAGAACAAAGTCAAACACCACCTGTAAATCCATCATTTCACAAGTCTTGCTTTACATCCATCTACAATTAGGTAATGAATTCCACACTTGACCTTCAGTATAAATGCACTCAAAGACAAACCATGGTTCACCAGTACACCTTCTAAAGGTGTCACCTTAGAATCTGTGACATGGCCATCTTTCAATTCAAGTCTACAAATTAAGGGAAGAAATTAAAATACATGAACAAGCCAATGAACCTTGCAACCCTTTTGCCCTGCAGAAACTAGCATAATTACTGGGGCTTGAAAATCCTGGCTGTCTTCTCACTGATCTGTGAGGCTGGCAATACATCTGCACATATGTGCTCTTTCACCAGCAGCTACTAGCTTTCTAGTACCATCATGTTGTTTTTTCCACATGTTCTCTAATAGCATCCTAAATTCTATAGGCACCTCTTCTCCTTTGATTTAAGCATGCGATTTCTTCCCCTTGCACTATATGTGAACCTCATTTTAATCTTTTTCTGATTATTTAGTCAAATGGAACAGACCAGGAACACAGTGCCTATGACAAAACATGCAGTTCTACTTTATACTTCACCATGGAAGTGACTGGGACTAAACACAGCACCCACATGAGACTCCATCTGACTGTAACCCATACATGCAAAGCACCTTGTTGTATTGGCCCGGAAGGTCAGTAAACTGAAGCCCAATGTATTACAGGGTACTGAATCACTGACAAAATTCCAGTGGCATGTATTCTACATAGTTTAAGTGTGCTGGGTATGATCATCCACAGGAAAACAGCACTGAATGCTGCAGATCAGAGTCAGGACAAAAAACAGGCTATTATTCTACTTTTTTTATTATTATTATTCTACTATTATACTGGCTGAAATATTTGGCAGAAGACATCTTCAGACATTCAGCACTATTTCAGACCCTCCTCATTACCTAGCTGACTAGCAAACAGAATTAGTAGTTAAGCAACATACACATAACCAATCACGTCAGCGAAGGGTTGTTTGTAGAAAGCTTCATCTGCCACCCTAGGTAGCAAATAGTCCAACAGGCAGGCAAGCAGGCAGGAGAAAAGAGATAAGGATGAGAAGTACAGAACACAACCGAAGGCAGTTTTAAAAAACAAGTTTAACTAGTATCACCTACACTCACTGAAACAGGGAAGCAGCTGCCACACAGAACATACCAATTAAGCTGCTAACTCAAGGGGGAACACAAAAACTCTCCTATATCATAGAAAATTAGGACTACCTAGTTTAGGGCTAGTCCCAGTGTTGGCATGACATCATCTCCAGATACCAGAGACTACTTGAAGTAGAGAGATCTCACCAGGTTGGTGAGAATGCTGAACATCCCCTCAGATAAACACTTGACTTTTCTGACTACAGCTCTTTTTAAATTGACCTTACTCCAGAATGCGCACCCTGATCTCAAACCACTGGCCAAGACAAAGTTAAAGAGGTAATAAGCTCTTGCCACCGCCTGTAACAGCTATCTTGTTTTCAGCCCAACAGAAAGACTGTGTTTGAGGGAATAAAGTGTCAAATCCATAGTTCTGTAGGAAGTATAAAGTGTCCTTTTGTCACTCAGTAAGTAAAGTCTACTTAAGACTACTTATGATAAACCAGCTCTTCAGATAGGAAAAATGGCATTTCAAAAATCATTTCAATTTGAAGTCTACAGATTCCCAAAGTTTAAAGCAGCCCCAATGACTACCTGAAGAAAATGACACTGGCAGACTTAGGTCAGAAGTGAAGTCCTAAGCGTTATTAAGTCAGCATTATCATATTTACCTTTATGTAGCCAGAAGTCAAAGTTCTGCATGGAACTCATAAGGAAATGTAAGAATTTATTAGATTGCGCCTAGGTCACTTGTTTCTGCTCCACAGCCCATAAGAGCCAATTCAAGCATGATGAATTTAATGAGTTAAATAGTCACTCACAGAACTCTGCTTATTTCTCATAAACTTCCACAAGAAGCAGCCAAAGGTTTTAAGATATCTAATGAAATAATCTGCTTTGGAGTAACTAGGAGCCCACTTCCAAGTTTCTGAGAGCTGGCAAGTAAGACCGCTAGCTGCAAGGTAATTAGCCACTGAAGAGCTGTGCAGCTAGGTACATACAGAGAAGTGAGCAGACTGAACAGTTCTGTCCAAATTCAAGCTTTGTATTAAAGGAAGCTTCTGGAATGGCTTGTTATTTCAGTGTTCCATTTGGACATTTAAGCTAGTCTCTAAAGAAACTCAGACTAGTCTACAACTGGACACTCATCTCTTAACAGGATAGTTAGTGGGCTGAAGGACTGTGACTTAGGATATAGTAAACATTCTACTCTTCTCTCCTTTGCCTAATTACTTCCACAGCCAGCAATATAGCTCTTCAGATGGCTGGAGAAATCTTACCTGTTGCTAGCTTTTGTTTTCTGGAGCTTTTCATCTTGTCTGGCATACCACTCCTCCAACTCCTTTATTGCTTTCTCCTTCCATTCTGCTTCCTGTTTTCTTGAGTTAGCATCTAAAGATTCAAGAATTGATTTATCAGTCATTTTTATTCCAATTGGATTTCATTAACATTTCAACTGATAGTTCAGGGTGTACTCTAGTGCAAATTATTACTTAATCCACTCAAATATGGTTTATGAGGTTCTCTGATTTAGGCCATGAGAACTCTAATGCCCTCAACATTCAGAAGATTAGCTAAACAAAATGTCCCTGTACAGCACTGAGACTGTCTAGTTCAATTTAGTCTAAGCATATGTAGACTAATTATAATACAGTCAGTCTGCTAGCCTGCAAACCATTCTAAAACACTGCCACCTTGCTATGGATGTTCTAGAATAAAGCTCAGTAAACTCACTACATTAGACAAATTAAGGGAATGTGATACTCAGTCTGCCTTTACACCCAACTCACAGTTCAGGATAAGCTCATCTGTTGTAACTAGTATAAAAGAGGAACAACAGACTCAGTTCTGTCTGGAATCATATGTTCAGAAGGCTGTCCTGATGGTCTCAAAGTAAGACCTCCTCCTTAGTGAAACTGGAAAGTACACCAGTTTAGAGTTGTCCACAGGTTGGTGTGGCTGTCTTTGATAGCTGAATTTAGTTACTACTTGGTTATTTAATTTCACTATGACAAAACGACAAGTGGCCTCAGCAGTCTTAAAATGAGCAATCTCCTTCCTTGAAGAAAAGTGCTGGCAGTTGTATCTACTCATTCTTTTCTGCTGATAAAAGCTGTTCATTTTCTGCTACAGAACTGAGGAACTCACTGGTAAGTTAAACAGGCCACTTCAGTAGTGTCGGAAGAAAGTTCAGAGAACCACTTGCTTCCTAACTCCTACACCAATATTAAAAGTTTGCTTACTAGAAGTTTTACCCTGTAGGCTGGCTGCTCAAGCAGCAAGTTGAACTCCAGAAAGCTAGAGGCCATTATTTGAAAAGCTCTCCTGCTTAAGAAACTGCCACTTCTGAGTTTCAACCAAGAATACCACTACAACAAACAGTCTCCTTACCAAGCTGCTCAAGGCGCTCCTTTTGCTCCTCTCTCCACTTACGAATGCTCTCTGGTTCTGACTGCAGTCGATCTACTTGTGATATGGCAGCATAGCAGTCTGTTGGACCATTGCTTTCCTTGGGGAGAAAGAAATGTAATTAAAACATTAAAACTGTACATTTCAGTAAATACCTGCAAGCTACAAAAAGTAGAGATTTGAACTGAACATGTGATATTCTTCTGATGCTATACCACATTACCACATTCATACCACATGATGAAAAATCTCTGGCTATGAAGGGCAGCACGATTGATGTAAACTAATATGAAAGTTGCCTCTAGCAACTGGGGATCAAACAAATTCAAGCTAACCGGGAATTCAAACTGTGTCAGAGGTCTAAGACCAAGGAAAGAATAAGACCATTCACAGAATCTCAGCTGTAGGCCTACAAACCCCTCAGCTAATATCACATTAAATATTTGCAACAAAAGTATATTTTTGGAGAGGTTTTTTTTGTGCACAGGAGATTGAAGTATTCTCTATAATTTGCATTTGTTTGCTTCAGAGAAATTTGCAAGCCTTAACAGAAGTTGGCTTCTAACATCAGTTAGAGGCATTACAGAATTGGGACTACTGTAAGCTGCTTAGAACACAAGATGCTTTTTTTTTTTTTTGCTTAAATTTTAAAAGGTATGCTAGCACTTGCACTTTATCATACAATGTTTCAAAGACTTGCAGTGCACAGGGTTATTAATACATTAGACTTTCAAAGACAAGTGCATTGCCACAGAGCATACTCCACATCCAACCCTTTCCATTGATTCACTATGCCCTTAACAGATTAAATACTTCATCAAGTGGAAGTTCTATCAAACAAAGCAGCTATTGGAATCATAAACAATCAAGGTATTTCGTTTGCCTTTTATTGTATAAGAGAACCAATTTTATTGTATTGAGAACCAATAACAAGCAGTTTTCCCAAGAACCTCACAGCAAGAGTGAGGATATAAAAACGGTACCAGTGAAAGCAGTTTGTTTCTGTCCATCTCAGTGTTCACTAATGTCTGTGGAAAAGTAGCTTATATGTTGCTCCCTTTTAAGTATTTATCTAAACAGGGCTCTCCAAAGAATTCTCTCAACAATCAGCAATGCCTTAGCGAAACAGGTATTAAATTCAGCTATACCACAACAATTGTGTGAGCATGCTCTGTTTCTCCCTGACACACACAAAACATTGTCTGCAATACAACAAACACGCTTACATAATGTGAATGAGCCACATGCCAGTAATTTAATGTCATGCAACTTTACATCACTAACAAGTATATTTTCAGTCAATTTGTTCCTTGTAAGACCAATTTTGATAAGACAACATGAGTTATCATTAAAGAGTAAGCAACTTGACTCTGAAGTAGATAATCAGAACATGTTCCATTTGGTTTATTAGCCTGTATCAATTATATGCTAAGTCATATTACAGAACCATAGAACCATAGAACCATAGAACCATAGAACCATAGAACCATAGAACCATAGAACCATAGAACCATAGAACCATAGAACCATAGAACCATAGAACCATAGAACCATAGAACCATAGAACCATAGAACCATAGAACCATAGAACCATAGAACCATAGAACCATAGAACCATAGAACCATAGAACCATAGAACCATAGAACCATAGAACCATAGAACCATAGAACCATAGAACCATAGAACCATAGAACCATAGAACCATAGAACCATAGAACCATAGAACCATAGAACCATAGAACCATAGAACCATAGAACCATAGAACCATAGAACCATAGAACCATAGAACCATAGAACCATAAGGTTGGAAATGACCTATAAGATCATCCAGTCCATCTCCTCATCACTATTGCCACCACAAGCACTAAGCCACATCACACAGCCCATCATCCAGACGCCTCTTGAACACTGCCAGGGATGGTGACTCCACCACCTCTCTGCACAGCCATTCCAGTGCCTGACCATCCCCTGAGAGAAACAGTTCTTCCTTTTCTCCAATCTAAACCTCCTCTGATACAACTTGCAGCCATTGCCCCGTGTCTAGCTCGTTGCCTGAGAGAACAGGCCAAAACCCTCTTCACCACAGCCTCCCTTCAGGAAGTTGTACAGTGCAATGAGGTCTCCCCTGAGCCTCCTCTTCTCCAGACTGAACAATCCCAGCTCCCTCAGCCATTCCTCGTAAGACTTGTGCTCCAGACCCCTCACCAGTTTCGTTGCCCTTCTCTGGACACGTTCTAGGACCTCAACATCTTTCCTGTAGTGAAGAGCCCAAAACTGAACACAGTACTCAAGATGCGTCCTCACCAGTGCTGAGTACAGGGGATGATCACCTCCCAGCTCCTGCTGGCCACACTGTTTCTAATGCAGGCCAGGATGCCGTTGGCCCTCTTGGCCACCTGGACACACAGTTCGGCTCATGTTCAGCCGAGCATCAACCGCATGAAATGAGTTGCCAGCTGGACTTCACTCCATTCACCATGACCGTGTAGCCAGTTCCTTACCCAAAGTAATGTATATCTGTTCAGACCACGGGCAGCCAGTTTCCCCAGAAGAAGCCTGTGAGGGACCATATCAAAGGCTTTGCTGAAGACTAGGAAGACTACATCAACAGCCCTTCCTTCATCTACCAGACTAGTCACCCAGTTGTAGAAAGTGAATCTGCTCGCTGTGGTCACGTCCCATTCAACCATAACTCAGAAGAGACTGCTGCCTTAAGATGCCCTCCAGTTCAGAGGAGGAGCATACTGTGAGCATTAGCAGCTTTAGGAGGTCATGAGACAGCAGACAAGCACATTAGAAAAGCAATGGTGAGTACAAGTCTAGATTTAAGTAAGTCTCACAGTAGAACAGCACACTCTAAGCACAGATTACTTGTATCTTACCTGATAGACAACTCCATTCATCACTCCATCAACAGCACCTGTAAAGAAATAACTGTAGTTTAACCATTTGAGAAAAACAATACAATTGGATTTACTAAACAGTTACTTGTCTGGAAACCTTTATTACAGCATCCAGTACGGGAATTATATAAGTAATTGTTACTCAATACCCCATAGGGTCAATTCCTTACCTCTGCACTTTTCTTCCTTTTCCAGGACACAAGAGACAGTGAGTCATTATTCTTTAGAACTAAAGCCAGTTCTTCACTATGAGATCTTACTACAGGCTACTCACAAAGCAGAGCTAACACTGCTGAGAAACTGCTATGGAGAATGTCCTGGAGTTTCTCCCATTTTCCCATCCCTGCCTTTGAAAATGAATACTAGACAACTGTTCAGAAGTTAAAGGTGACTTACACTTTTCACACTACTTGTAAGACTAACAATCAAGTAGGGCAACACTTTCTAAATCTTATCATGATTTTGTTACCTCATACCTCCTAGCAAGTCCAAAAAATTATATTAACATCCCTACCAAAAATCACCTTTCATGTTTCTCCTGCAATGACATCTTTGATAGCTTTCGAATTCTCCAGCCGCGTTATTCCTTTTGGCAAGAGAGTCTCTGGAACAAGATCAGCTGGAATCCTTGCCACAGAAGCTTAAAATCTCTTATCAGAAGGAAGATCTAAGAACGCACATCGATTGTGAAACAAGTATTTGACTTTGTGAAACTATTTGAGTCTTCAGTCTATGGAGAAGGCAGTAAAATTTTCAGGAACCACTTTCTAGAACAGTAGTGTACCATCTCCCAGTGAAATATATTAAGTTTACAACTTTGCCTCATCTATAATGCTACCCTGGATAAGCCCATCACAAGTGTTTCTGCCACATTAATGCACTCTACACTTAAAGCTGAGATTTTACTAAAGTCAACAAATAGCAGGCAGAAACTCAAACATTTCACATTAGCTTCCTAAATAAGGTTGTTCATTCACCTGGAGCAGACTGTCATGCTGCCACACGCTCTATTTGTTCCATGTCCTCTTTGCACTTTTACCAGTATCACTAAGCCCCTATCTCCGACTCCTGAACAGCAGCAATTCACAGTACTTGTGAAAGTATGTAAAATCCTTAGTCAAAATATGGTAACATTGAATGATACTAGCCTTCAATAATGCAGTTATCAGCTTCAGAAAGAGAAAGACAATTCAAGTTAATGAACATTATTTTTACCAGTTAAAGGACCCTAGTATTTTTGAGCTACACTCCTATATCTCAAGAGCAATAACTACTTTGTTTGCTGCTTGCCACAAGTTGCAGGAGCCGAAAAGAACTGGCTTGAGAGGCATCTGCCTCCTTCACAGCAGCTATCCTGCGCATTACTTAACATCAAGTTGCAAGTTTCCTCAAAGCAAATGTGCAGAGACCACTGAGCACACAGTCCTGAGTAGTTACAGCCACAACTAACAATTCTCCTCATTACATTTAGGAAGACTGAAGCCCATAAAGGAAGCCTGCTTACACTTCATGCTAGAAAAGGAGGCTGCAGCTGTTCACCTTTTTAGACTGGGCTGGAATTACAGCTAAGCCAGAGTCTGTAACTTGTATTGACAAAAACCACCTGAACAAGTTAGCTGCCTTCAGAGCCTACCTGGGAAGAGCTAAGAGCAACCTGCACCATCAGACAGAACCTAGTTGGAGAGAAAAAACCCAACAAAGGTTAGTCTTGAAATAAATGTAGTTCTGATCTCCAGAGAGAAGGCAGTTGTTTCATGGGACATACTTGGGAGCACTGACTGACCAGCGAAGTAAGGGAGATTGCATCTTTAAGATTTTTCTTGTCATAATACAAAGAGAAAACTTTCATTAAAGTCTTCAGCATTCAGGTTAGTAGTCTGCAGAACGGAACAACATTCCTGCAGAGCTGAAAAACAGATGTGTTCATCTTAGGACTACTTATCTTCTGCTTAGACACTAACTGGTACAGCAGAAAGTATGGCTAGAGGGCAAATAAGTCACAGGCATTAAAAATACTAGAGCTTTCCATCTGTTTTAAGCTTCCTAGAACTTGTGATTACAATGCTGAGTCAGCATGCTGACAATGCACCCTGCCCGCTGAAAATAAAGTAGAACAGTACTATTGTGCTATCATGTACTAACACAAGTACACTAACTGAAACAGAATCAACAGTCAAATATTCTCTCTCCAGCTCTCCAGTTTCAGTGTTTGCGTAAATCAATATGAAACCAAAAAAAAAAAAAAACTGTCTTCCAGCCTTTGTCTCAGTAAGCAAAGCAATTTGTGTATCAGATTTCCTTGTTCACAGAAGGATGTCATTTTGTATACAACTTTCCCCAGAAAAATGTTTCCAACAGTTATGAACAATGACAGATCTCTATTGGCTTCAGAGTCCGCTCATGACTAACACAGCACCTTACAACTCCTGAAGTTAACACCATACTTTCTGAGGAAGTTAGGAACACCCCACACTCCTTGGTGGTTCCTTCTGAACTTTGGATAAAGCACAGAAAATATCCAAGTATCCACATTTCCAGAACATGCTGGCAATGGAGTAACAAACTTCTAGAGTTCCACCCAGACAACTTTTAGAGTCTGAGCCTGTGAGGAAAGCAGAAGCTGTATCAGCTGTTTGCACACACAGGAGGGAAAAAACGGTTGAGCTTGCCAGAAACAGACAGCTAGAATCTGTGTCCTCCAAATGTGCAATAGCTTTCAAGAGAAATGGACAAGTACCTTGAAGTTTTTTTCCCCACTTCAGTCCTACAAGTCAACATACAGTGAATTTGCAAAGTTAAGTTTCTAATTGAAAGGAACAGCCAAGGAAGCTTATGAAGCTTCAAGAAAAGGGCAGATCGAGCAGATGGTAGAGGACCTGGAATAAAATTAATCCATAAGCAGTTGTTCTCCTGGTAGTACTAGGCATGCAAAAACTACAGACTAGTTCCAAGAACAAAGTAAAGGTTTAGCCAGAGGCTTACTTCAACTTCAGAGTTGACTCAACTCTCATTTAAAGTTAGCTTTGTACTGAATGTCAACAACTGAGCTGTCAGAGACAGCTGAAGTGAAGATCTACTTTTGAAAGTGATTTAAAAAAAAAATCGATGTGTAGAAACTTACAGCAAAGTTTTGTTACAGTTAAGCAAGGTATTCTTTCTTGGCAGTGCTGCAGTAGCGTTGGATAACTCTCCAAGAATGCTCCATCAGTTGATCGTTCGTGAATAGGTTATATTTTCACATACATTACATACTGACTGACTAACAGACACAGCCTTATTTGGTGATCTTCAATGTCATTTAGAGTTCTTCTAGCATCCTGCTGGTCCTCTATCTGCCCCTGGGAGATGTTTATTTTCAACACTCCTTTTGTCCTGAAGATTGCAGTGGAATGCAAGGACAGTCAGAAGTCTCTGTACACAGAGATAAGGAAGAAAAAGGGGAACATCTCAATGCTGTCTGTCACATTTTAGGCGTTCCATTGTTGTTTCTTTTGCCTTGTTAAAGCAGAACAGTCTTACAACATTTCCCCATCTAGTATGACATCCCACTTATCATCCATAACATCTAAAGACTACAGCAGTGCTGCAAGCGAGCATTAACAGAACATTTTCTGTAATTACTTCTTCAAATCAAACACATTGCCTTGCTCTAAGACCATACAGCTATGCAGCACAATACACTTTCAGCCTTGTTCACTAGTGAAGATTTACTGTCAGCACAACAAATGAAGGCTATCAAAAGAACCAGACATAGGACCATGAAGAGTAACACTTCTAATTCAAGCCCAGACATGCATTAATTCCTTCTGATGTCTTCCTATCAAGTAGGCTTTTGACAATATTCTCCATGCAAGAGAAGTTAACTTCAATATGACTATATTTAAAGTCATGCTTTATGAGCTACTCTTAGCATCCCTTTCAAATACTGAGTATGCTCTTCACTGCTTATCTTCTAAAAATTAGTAGCTTGAGGGTTTTGTTTCCTTATTCTTTCACGACAATGTCTTGCATTACTGAGGAAAAATAGGTTTTCCAGCCAAAACCTTATTTCTGTGATTGTAGGTAAAATAAAAAATAAAAGCAGGAAAAGGGCTTCTCTCCTCATTAATAGGCAAAATAGATGTGTTTGTTCCTACTATGAGCTTCATAATACAGCATCACAATTTTTTTTTTTTTTTTTAAATCAAACCTTTCTCAATGCTACCTTATGGAGCACTTTGAAACCTTGAACAGTTTAGAAAAAACAATAGCCACTGATGAGTAACTCATTCTGTCTGTGAAGTTAACTCAAGTCAGAAGAAAACAATTCCTTCCCAAAGTTATTTTGAAAAAAGAAAAAAAAAAACAACTGATATTCAATCCTTGAGAGATTTCAGTTCCTTACCTCCTAGAGAGGCTCACATGCCTCTCTTCAGAAGATGAGAGTCATTCACTGAAGTTCACATAAAGGCAACAGAATGTGAAAGTGAAGTCAATGTTTGAGACTAGACAGCCTACATTAAACTTGAGTAGTATTTTCATGACTGTTTACACAAAACTGCTTGCTACTGAAGGTTGTTCTCAGTAAGAAGTCACCAATAAGCTGTCACAGGATTTTTACATTGAAAGACAGATTCTGGAAGCTAGATATCTCAATCTGAACACATTTGCTCCTGCAGAGCAGACACTGCAACTGAACTGTTTTCTTACTGGGAAGGGGATCCCACAAGAGACCAGAATACGAATAACCAGACAATAGCTCTTTATTGCTTTATTTACACAGCATTTCTTGTCCTCTGAGATAGCAATTATGCTTCACATTTCAAATGAATACAAGACTAGTTGGAATGTCTATGTGCATATAAATGGTCTAATGGGCCAGGCCAATATTCCAGCCCTGACAGAAGCAATGCGAAGTGATGCTCAGTGTGACCACATGAGCTTGGCAATATTATGCCCCAAGTACCCATCATTGCTACAATTAACAGGGATACAGTTTCAATTACCACAAATATGTTTCCATTAGCCTAAGTACATGAAGTTCAACGCTGACCTTGAGTTTAACTTTTTTTTTTTTTTTAAATAGACTTCATTTAAACAGTTTGATGTGTTAGAGAGCATGTTTCTTACAAGCATATTTAAGGAAGCTGGAGACTGCTTCTCATAATATTTTAAGATCTTTGCACTCCAGAAGAGAATTGCTTCAGCTACAACTTCTGCCCAGCATTGAGAAAGGAAAGAAAGAAAAACTTACCCAGCAGATCCATAAATCAGGATTTCAGGAAAGTTATGGTTAAAACAGTAAATAAAATTAAATAAATCCACAAATCCCTGACCACCGTGCTTTAAGGGTTCACTAAAATATTTTTCTTAAGGATTTACATAAATAAATTCAAGAATAGATTTACATTCACCAAAACAGTTCAATAAGTAATAAGAACTAGTGTTGTCAGATGTTTGTTAGGGTTTTGACTGAACCCTAAGAAGTCTTATAGAGAAGTGGCAACAGAAGTTACAAATACACCTGTCATCTGAACTAGCACATTTTGCATTATTGCAAATTGCATCTTCTATTTTTCCTAATAGGGAATATAGGGTTTAACAGTCAGAGAATGGATGTTCTGTTAACAAGGTGACCACCAGAATTCCAAAAAGATGATTAGCTACACCTGTACTACAGGCCAGAGCATCAGTGAAATCCAAATTCATACCAAAAAGCAAAGTGATATATAGACCACACCTAGACTTCACAGATCCTTAGATTTTATCTACTACTTTATGGCTCTCTTTCTACAGTAACAGTTTCTCAAAGGAAATGAAAAGCTTCTTCAGCCACAGCTGAACTAGTTTTTCATTTCTACCCAACCTGGCAGCACTTAATCAGCTGGTGAGGAACTACGCTGCAACAGCCAGACTGCACACAGAGAAAATACAAGTCCAGTTGGTTCTATCGCCCTGTGAGATGCTAACAATTTTCTTCTATGCCATATAAAGCATAATGCTTCAAAGAGCAACATCTGAGGCTTCTGAGAGAGGGGATTCATACACAGTCTGTTTCTGCTCATAAAAATAGTGAGTTACGTTACATCTGGATGGTATTCTAATGATTACCCCCGTGTTTAGTGCTTAAGGATGTCACTTCACTTGACAAAGACGTTTGCATGGAAATACGCAGTCTGTATAGCCAACCTTTTTATGAATGAGCCAGTTTCTAAGGGCTACAGTACCTCTAGGTTAGCCCTGGATACAGCAGGTCTCCATTACTCAGCTCACTTAACCGTGCTTTGTTTCACGGGTTATTATGAACCAACAGTCCCATAAACACGAGTTATTTCAGTAGCAGCTTTTCACATTGAAAACTTAATTCTGAAGACACTTCAACAGTGAACCGGTGAGCAGAGTAATTCAACTCAGACAGAAGAGGCTAGCTGCCTGTTCGGGAAGCGATAAAGGAATGGCTCTCGAGGTCAAAACAAACTCCCCTGGGCGCAGAGATGAACACGAGGCACGCCTTGCAGCAACACAGAAACAGCATCGCTAGGTTCACAGCCCCTTCTCGCTCAGGATTCAGATTAAAGGCCCTAGTGCCAGAGGCCGGAGACCGCTTCAGCTGCTGCTGCACTAACGGAGAGCCCCCACAACCCGACTCCCAGAATACATAACCACGCTGCTCCTAGCACAACACCCCGATCTGCAGCGTCAGCTTTCTCACCTTCGGTACAAAGGTTACGGAGGTACAACGGCCAGAGGCCGAGTAAAATTAAATATTAGCCCAGCCGGCTCTCACTCGCGAACGTGGACCGCCGCTTCCGAGCAGAGCGGCGCCGGGCGGAGCGCCGCGCACCGCCCTACCCGCGGTACTCCGCTCCGGGCGCACGGGAGCGGCGGAGCGAGCCGCGGGCCGGGCGGATCCGCCAGAAGGTAGCGGCCGCCCGGGACAGAGGAGAGGGAGGCCGTGCGCCGTACCGGAGTCGAAGCCCTCCGCCGCCTGCAGCGCCTCCGGCACGTCGCCGCTCTCCAGGATGCCGTATCCCTCGTCGTTCTCGATGCCCGCGATCTCGTTCTCCTGCTGCGCCAGGAAGGCAGCGGCAGGGTCCTCCTCGGCGCCGTCCGTCGCCCCGTTACCGGCGGCGGCCTGCGGCTGCTGCGCACCGAACAACTCCAGGTTAGCCATGGGGACGAGCTGCTGCGGCGCTGCGCGGGCACGGGCAACGGCGGGTCCCGGGCCTGCGCCTCCACACAGAAATCGGCGCGGAAGTGGGGCACCCTCCGCCCGGGCCAATGGGAGACGAGCACCTCCGGGAGGCAAAGCCAATCAGCGAGCGGCAGAGGCGGGGCTAATGGAATCCTCCGCGCGCCTCGGTGGGCTCGGGCCAATCAGCGTCAAGGGCTTGATGGGGAGCCGGCAGAGAGGGCAGCGGAAAGGGGTTGTGGGGCCGGGAACGCGCAGGCTTGGCTGTGGGAGCGCGCGCGGTAGCCGCGGGGCCGATAGCGGTCGCGTGACTTTGTCAGTACGGAGTTGCGTCACTGCCGCGTCGTAGCACCGCTTAACCGTACTACGCCTGGGATGGTAGTGAGCCGCAGGGCTCGGAGAATCGTAGAATCCTTTATGCTGGGAAAGACCTCTGAGAAGTCCAAGTGTTAACCAAGCATGGCCAAGTCTGCCACTAAACTACAGAAGTGTTAAGGATGGAAAAGACCTCTAAGATCACAGAGCCCAGCCATCAGCCCATCTCCACCATGCCCAGCAACCACATCTCTCACAGTTCTTGAACACCTCCAAGGATGGTGACTCCCCCACCTCCATGAGCAGCCTGTGCCAGTGCAGCACCACTCTCTGAGAAGGCATTTTTCTTATAGCCAACTAGCCCTCCTCTCATGCAACTTGAGGCTATTCCCTCTTGTGCTATTGCTGTGACCTGGGAGAAGAGGCCGGCTCCCATTTCTTCACAGCCTCCTTTCACAGAGTTGGAGAGATCAACAAAGATCAAAATAAGCCTCCGTCAGTGTCATCCAATCCAGCTCCTGTTTCGTAATCCAATGCACAGGACCACACAAAATCCAAACCCTATGTCTGAGAACATTGCCCAAACACTTCTCAAAAGCCAGCAGGTGCCATGGCACTGCCCAGGAGAAGTGTCTTGGTGTCAGTCCTGCCTCCACTTAGGTGCTGCCCGTAAGTCAGTATGTGTCACAGTACTTTAGAAATAAGCCACCCAGTCCTACCTTGTAGTCCCATTCCAACATGGTTCTGAAATTGGCCAAATACAGAGAAAAGCAACCCTGGAAGTTAGTTTTTACCTACATAAAAGACATGGTGAGGCAAACTGCAGGCTGTGGTAAATTTTGTTCTGTTAGTTACATTTTGCTAGGAAGGTGGTACAGACTGGACTCTGCATATTGCTGAGTCATTTAAAGCATGCCTGGTTTCTCCAGTGAAAACTCAGAATCTAGCATGGCAGTAGGCTGAACTTCTGTCAATTTTATCTTCTAGGAAGAACAGAACTGTGTCATTTATTTTAATGAATCTCCAGCAGCCACAGGAAAGTGAAGGAATAAAGAGCAACAGCAGCAACTATGTCCTTCATTTATAACAGAAGACTGTAAAAATGACACTCCCCCATGAAGCGCATGTCATGTTCATACTGAAATTTACTGGCCTTGATCCTTAATTTGTCCTGAAAGCACACTCCCACGTACATTTTAATCACTCTTCCTCCCTTTTACATAAGCACACAAAAAGGTAGAATAGTCTTATTGTTCCCATTCAAGCGTTTGAGTGAATTTGGGATATAAACCTAGCAACTTCCTCTTCTGCTTTTTTGTCTTTCTTAGCCCGGTGGGGGATTCCGGATGACTTAATGCCACGAGTACAAAGAGAATACTGTCATTTCAAATAAAAAGCAAATCTGCATACTTGCTTGTCTTAAAATTGCATGATGAAGGATGAAACATAAGCAAAATAATAAGCTTGCAATTGCCAATAAAATTATCTGAGTTAAATCAGAAAGGATAACTTAATGTTACTGGCTTTTGAGGCAGAGAAAATTGCAGTGGGTTATTAGATCTACTTTGATGATAAATTCTTCAAGTATTTTTGCACTATCAAAACTATTGTTTTGTTCCTGCTTTCTTACCCACAAAAGAAATAGAAATACATTCTTTCCTAAAGGCATATATCACATCTTAGACTGTAGACTATAGTAATAGTGCCCTTTGTAATTCATCCATGGTGACTTACATGCCAGGGAGACTAGTACAAGAATGTTATATGAATAACACTTTATGGAAAGACTAAATGACACACAGGCTACAAATGACTTTAAGGATAGTGCAATTTCTCCCCACTCTTTGTAACAGAATAACTTATAATTCTCCCTTCTAAAAATACTGTCCTCTATTTTTAAAGTAATTCTAAAAAGATGTTTTCAAGCATTTAGCAAAATATGACAGCAGTTATGTACTTCCAACATTAAGAAAATAATTTCAACGGAGTACTGGAATCGTAGAATGGTTTTGATTGAAGAAATTAGAGATTTAGTAGAACAGATGTTTCCAGAGCAGAAAATTTAAATGCCAGTACTTTCAGCTCCCTCTTAACTCATTTGGCATGCAAATGAGACAGGCACAGTCTAGCTGACATCTGGACATGTACCGCATCTCTCTGAGAATTTTCTAGCTAGTCTTATTTTGCAGAAGCTGATGGTTTTGGCAATTAGAAAGGAAGGGCATGTGTTGACTGGAATCTGGTACCCCGAAATTAATAAAAATATTCCTCAACCATCAAGCTATAGATAAAAGTCAGAAAAAAAAAAAAAAATCCATGCTAAGGAATCTAATATTTTGCTTGCTACTTGCTCACAAGTTACAGGAGCCAGAAAGAACTGTCTTGAGAAGCACAGGAAGCTTACAGCATCTGTCTTCTTCACAGTAGCTATTCTGCACATCATTTAACATCATGCGGCAAGTTTCTTCAAAGCAAATGCACAGAGATCACTAAGCACACACTGACTCAGGCAGTTACAGCCACAGCTAACAAGAAATGGCATAACTAAGCATGTTTGCCATGATGGGAATGAGATACGAGATATCATATGAATGACAGAAGATCAATACCTTGAAAGTAAACTCTGAGGAACATGAGATTATAAGGCCCCATTTTGAATGGATTGTCTGGGGCTAAATAACCCAGAGAAAATAACAAAATTTAGATGTTTTGGAAAGGAATTAGACATTAAGAATGTCATTGGTATTTTTGTTTGTTGTTTTTCCATCAAAAGAAATGGCAAACAAATCACAGACTCTAAGAATTATTAAGCTAAGAGGAGACCTCCTGAGATTGGCTATTCCAATGTGCTTGCCTAAGCTGTATCAACATGAATATGTTCTTGGCAGGACTGTGCAGGACTGCACCCACTTTCTGGGCAACCTGTTTGAGTGTCTGTCTTCAAAGTAAATGAAGGTTTTTCTTCAATATGAGGTGTGCTCGTACTGAATTTATTTTTTTTTTTAATTTGTTTCTAATGGCTATTGTCCTGTCAGTGTGCTGTACAAAGAAGAGTCCCTCTGAACCATCACTTGTCCAGACTAAGTAGTTCAATCTCTCTCAACCTTCCACATGAAAGATGCTTCTCAGGTAAAAGTCTCATTAACAAGAGGAAAAAAATCTGACCAATGTAGAACAGCTGAAGACTGTAAGAAGCCATGGTGTATAAAATTTGTTTAAGTAACTCTCCTCTGGCATCCACACTAACAAGGAGGCTGATGGCATTGTAGGGCTCTCTCGATCACCTCTGATATGACATGAGATATTTCCTTAAGACTGGAGCAGAGCAAGCGTCTCTCCTATACTGTATCTGAGGTGCAGGTATTTGGCATCAGCATGAACACATTTACAGGTATTGTTTTCCATCTTTTTCTGCAACTGGACATCCAAATGATCTTTTGTCCCTGCTGATGGCAATGGGGTTGGTCTAGACGATATTTAAAGAGCCTTCCAACCTGAATTGTTGTGAGATCCATTTCATCATTCTGCTTCAAGAACTATTGCACAGAAAAATCTTTTGAACTCTTCACCAGTGAAAGACGACCACGTCCTGATTCAACAAAGATCATTCAAAAAATGATCCATATATCTGACTTTACATTTTCTCACCCTTTTAAAATGCCCTGCACATCATATTCTTTCATCCAAAAGAATACACATCAGCCAACCTGGCAGGGAAAAAGACTAAAGTTTACCACAGAGACTAACTTCCTAGTATGTCTGATCAAACAGATAGCAACCTAGCAGGAAGTAACTCCCTATCTTTGTGTTGTAAAACCTAGCTTTTACTTCTTCTGATATAACTGAAAGAAGCTGTTTAGCTTACAGCAAAAGCTATAAATTCTTTCAGCCGTTTAAGGTACATGACCAACTGACCATTCAGTTAAAAGTTTCCCCTCAGTAGCACTTAAACAACAAAGACATTGACCAAATAGTTTTCCATCAAGTTTTCAGGACCACAGTTAAACCACTGTTATACAGATTTGATCCAGACTTGTTCTGCTCACAAAAAAAAAAAAAAAAAAAAGAAAAAAGAAAAAAAGAAAACAAACAAACAAATGAACAAAACAGTTTGTGACTGGTCCTTGCCAGCAAAGAATTTGCAGGTAGGGCCATAATTGTATACAAAAGTAGAAATAGAACTTGCTGAACTGGTGAAGGGGCTTTCTGTCGACAGAGCCAAGGTGTCAGACGTGCTCCCCATCCCATGGCCTGCTCTTATGATGAGTGGCTCCAACCTGGGTCCACCCTTCCAGTCACATACTGAGCATAAGTGTCAAGAACTTATCTGCATTCCATAGACCAGCCTCACCCCTTCACCAGGTGCTCAATCATCAGTTTCAGCCAGGACATTACAGTTTTCCTGCTGTCTGTAAGGACACCTACTGTCCACCTGGCTTCTGTTCATTAGTAACTATACTGGAATCATGTTTGACCCAGAGTTTCTTAACTGTTAACCTACAGACCAACCTTCATAAGCAGAATGGTGCATCTGCTTTGGAATTTATGTGACCTACTTTTCTGTTTATTTTGTACCTTAGATATTCTGGACTAATATAATTTGAGGGTTATGTATACGTGCCCCATGTAATTAAACTTTGCTTTTGATATTTTGCAGGGTTGGCTTGTTGATGATTCTTCTCTGTCATTAACCCAGCTGAATTGGCGTGTTGAAAAATAGCAATTTTTATTTATTTATCTATTTTCTTGCAGATGGCTGTAGAATTTCTTCATGAATTGGATGTTCCATTTTTCAAAGTAGGATCAGGAGATACAAATAATTTCCCATATTTGGAAAAGACTGCAAAGAAAGGTAAGCATTATCTACTGAGCAGTATTTGCAGAATCACAAGTTACAGGGGCTGGAGGGAACCTCAGAAGGTCCGTGAGTCCAACTGTCTGATAAAGCACATTTGCTACAGCAGGTTGCACAGAAAAATGACCGGGTAAATTTTGAATATCTCCAGAGAAGGACACTGCACAGTGTCTCTGGTAGCCTGTTCCACTGCTCTGTCACACTCACAGTAAAGAAGTTTTTCTTTGTGCTCAGATGGAACTTCTTATGTTCTGGATTGTGCCCACTGCCCCTGGTTCTGTCACTGGGCACCAGTGACGTGAGCTTGGCCCCATCCACTTGACTCCTGTCCATTTTCACATTTTCTGTTGATCCCCTTTTGGCTTTCTCCAGGCTGAACAGCCCCAGGTCTCTCAGCCTTTCCTCCTGGCAGAGATGTTCCAGGCCTCTCGTCATCTTTGTGCCCCTCCACTGGACTCTCCCTGGATTTTCCCTGTCTTTCATGAACTGGGGAACCCAGTCTCATTAAACTTCATAGTTTCACAGTGTCTCACCAGTTCAGTTATTATGTATTTGCTTCGCTTAACTTTGGGGAAAAGCAAAAAGCCAAAAAAATCACCCATCTTCCTTTTCTAGTTCAACCAAATGCATTGTAGAACTTCAGTTAAGCCTGTGCAGATTTCTTAGGGATCTAAACTTGAAATCTAGGCAAAACATTTGTTTTAATGGCTAGGACGCCCAATGGTGATTTCCAGCGGGATGCAGTCGATGAACACAATGCACCAGGTGTATCAGATTGTGAAGCCCATCAATCCAAACTTCTGCTTCCTGCAGTGCACCAGTGCCTACCCCCTTCAGCCTGAGGACGTCAATCTACGTGTTATATCGGTCAGTGAATAAGTGCTATTGGCACAGTACCACAGAAGGCCTGTGCACTTCCATTGCGCTCTGTTTCCAGGTCTTACACATGCTCGAGTTTGCTTCTGAGAGGTGGGAAAGTGCATCATGGTCCTCTAATTCCACCTGGCCTTGAAGTAAAACTATTAGTTGGGTCCTGTTTTGGCAGAACTGAGCTTTCAGGAATACGATAGGAGAGATTGCTTTAGGGGCTATGCAGTTAAATAGAAGGGAGCTGAAGGTGAGCGTGAGCTTTGGAAAGGAGAGAAAAGGATGTGGACGGTTACCTCACCTCTGGGAGGGTGTGTGGAACTGAGGAGGCGATTCTCAGTTGGGAGCTCAACCGCGTAATTCCATTAAAAAGGCTCTGTGTGAATATCAGAGCCGTGAGAGAAAAAGGATTATAGTTTCCTTTGAAATTATTGCTTGGATGTGCCTGGTGGCCGATGCAGGAAAATGTTCCCAGGTCGGCCAGCGTTCAAACATCTGCCCAGCTTTATGCACGCAGTGTTTGTTAGCTTGAGTATATCTGGACGTGACTGTATTTAACTGCCTGTAGGACTGAATAACTCCTGTGTTGCTGCGGAAAGGACTGCTTCAGATTTGAAACATGGGAAGGTGCACCATCTGCTTTGAACGCAGGTTAAGCTTAACAAGGTGTTGGGTTCTTGGATGAAAAAAACTCCATTTGCACAACTTACAGCTGGGTGGGCTTTTAAGACCTTGAAGAGCACAAATAAATTAGAAAGACATGGTTGAAGGAAGGGAAGCCATGCAGAGGGACCTCGAGAGGCTACAAAGGTGGACCTGACGAGGTTCAACACGGCAAAGTGCAAAGTTTTGCACTTGGGCTGGAGGAATCCTAGGCATCCTAGGCATGCTTCATCCTGAGCATAACCAACAGCTTGTTTTGTGGCACAGAAACTGCCCGCGTGTTCACTGCAGTTATTACTGTTAAATTGGCTCTGTCTTTGAAATTGCTGCCTTGGCAACTGAGACCAACTCTGTCGTGGTTCCAGGCGTATCAGTCAGCTTTTCCCGACATCCCCATTGGCTATTCAGGGCACGAAACCGGCATTGCCATTTCGGTGGCAGCTGTTGCTCTGGGTGCAAAAGTGGTGGAGCGTCACGTGACTCTCGACAAAACATGGAAGGGAAGTGACCACCAGGCTTCCCTGGAGCCAAAGGAACTGGCAGAGCTGGTGAAAGCCATCCGTACCGTGGAAAAAGCAATGGGTTCTCCAATCAAACAGCTCTTGCCTTGTGAAATGGCTTGCAACGAAAAGGTAACTCCTGCTTTTGATTGACAGTCTGTAACTCCCGTGCAGAAAAACAGCAGCCAATGCTTGGGTTTGTGGTGTGAAGGTCTCTGTTTTTGTGCAGTGTTTTGCCTCTGCACTCTAATAAATTTTCCACTGCAAAGGAGCAGAGCACTTATTACACTGCGCTTATTGCACTGTAACTTTAAGGCAGATCTGCATTTCTTATCATGTGCCATTTCTGTTGGTTTTAAGTTCAGTGGAGTTTTATGGATGTCCCCTGTGACTAACTCCCTTGAGCAGTAAATACGTGTGAATGCATAAGCTCTGTTTACACGAAGCTAGAATGCTCATCAGTCTACTCAGATTCCTTCCGTTCTGATTCTGGGAAATGCCAGTGAGATATTGTCTGAATTCAGTAAGGACTTAAGTTTTCCCATCAGCCTTGTTACAGTAAATATTTCCATGCTAACTCAAGCTTCTTGTAGAGTTATAAGTTAAGCAACAGGTTGGGCAACCCTTTCTCAGGTAGCTTATAATTTTGTGGTCCACTTCTGGTGCCTACAATTCTGTTTGACTTAAATGTTGTTTTTATTTTCTCCTTTGTAGCTGGGGAAGTCTGTTGTGGCAAAAGTGACCATTCCCGAAGGAACCGTACTGACACTTGACATGCTGACAGTGAAAGTAGGAGAGCCTAAGGGATTTGCTCCAGAAGCCATCTTTGATCTGGTGGGCCAGAAGGCTAAGACAACAATTGAAGAAGATGAAACCATCACTGAGCAGGCAGTGGAAAATCATGTCAAGAAAGTGAAGTGCTAAACCTAAGCCCTCCATTTGATATTTTATGATGTCGGTCTGTCCTACTGCACAACATGTTTTAGTGACATGGTGGGTTAGAAAGGATTGAAGAAGATGAACGTTTTCAGGGTTTGTTCTGCAGGAAGTTTTCGCAACTAGGGGATATAAATTATGAAAAGCAATTTTATTAGAAACTGCATAGTACTGTGTCTAGAAAACACCATGTTCCTCCTCTTCCATTCCACTTTGATTACTTTGGATTTCTTGCCAAATCTGTGACCGAGGTCTACTGTTTTCTAGCTTTCCTTTTCTGATAAGAATACACTAATCCTAAAAATCTCTCTGTACTTGAATTGTTCTGTTACTGTAAAGTCTCTCTTCTGCCATTTGCTTTAATACCATGAAGATAGGATGGAAGTTCGTGTTAAATGCAAAGAGAAAAATTACCTAAACTAAACAGACAGCTTTATACATGCAGTATGATAGATTCTTCTTAAGATATGTCTTTTAAAAAAAAGTCTCAAGTTAAAGGAACGGGTGGCAGAAACCTGCTTGAGGAATAGAAGTGGACAAACTCACAGAAGTGCAGCAGTATAGAGAAGGGAGATAATTGTCTATTCCTGTGATGCCACTCTTTCAAAAGCCAGCTCCTTGAGGAAAGCTAGGTTCCAGTATGCACTTACCTTCTCAAAAGCAGTACCAACAAAGTCAGCGAATTGGATATGTAGACAGCTCCCATTTAAGGAGCGAGAAAAGGAGCCTTTTGGTACTTTTTATAAGCTGAAAGGCAAGACAGCAAGCAAAATTCACCCAGGATGGATCAGTGGAAGTAAATTTAATCTGTGCTTCCAGGAATTGGCAAAAGCAACTGCCAGATTACTGAATCTTGGCATCCTAATAAATTCTGCTGTGCAGCTTCTCTATTTGTGTGTGCAGCAGTGCGGACTTGTGGGGAGAGTCAGTGAGGCCCGTGTCCTGTTGCCTCAGGAAGAGGCAAAACATGGGTTTTGTTGAAGGCACCCCAGTGCTGAATGGATCTGGAGATTTGTCACAACTGGGGCGACGTGGGAAGACTCAATCAAAGCCCCAGACACTGCTGCAAAATGCCAACAACGAGCAGACAGAATATAGGGAACGGAACGGACAGAGGCACCACGGAAAACCCGGATGCCATTGCTGGGGTTGGAGCGCTGCAGATGACGCTCGCCCGCTGTGACATCACTGGCACCGACGCCCTCTGTGAGGGATAGTGACACACGCAGCAGGGATTGTGACCTCTTGGCCCTCACTGCCTGCAGCCGGGCGCAGAGTCTCTCACTCTGGCTTGTGCCTGCACTCCAGCCGAGCGTGTCCGTGAGGCTTGGAGCGAGCAGCAAGGATAGCCTTGGTGCTGGTCTCGTGCTCTGGGAGCTGCCGACAGCCGCTCTCAGTGCTCGTCCCCAGAGCCACCACAGCTTCTTCCCCGCCCTGCCTGGCTCAGGCAGCCGGGGCACCCAGGAGGCCGCAGCAGCAAAGGGAACCGGTAAGGGGACGCCTCAGCCTGGGCAGCCCACTGGGAGGGTTTCCTTCCTGAGGGACCCGGGCACTCGTTCCTCCGCTGACGGGGTCTGCGAGTGACCGTGGCCTCTCTTCCTTTCCTAGCGTGACCCCTGCAGCTGCAGCAGCGCGGTGAGGAGCAGCCCCTCATCCCCTTTGCTCTCCTGCCAGCTGGACAGCATGGCCACCGAGCTGGATTGTCGCTGCCCCATCTGCCTCGACACCATGGATGACGCCAGCTACGTGATGCCGTGCCTGCACCAGTTTTGCTTTGGCTGCATCCAGCGGTGGGCTGAGAGCAGGCCCACGTGCCCCCTCTGCAAACGCAGGGTGCAGTCCATCTTGCACTCCGTGCGTGCAGACGACAACTTTCAAGAGTTTGTCGTCGGACAGCAGGAGAGGGCCGGAACAGCAGCCCACCGCACAACGCCATTAGAAGGCCTAACAGGGGCGGTGCCCAGCTGGCCGTCCGTTTCCCGCCTGACTCCAGCTGTGCTCCGGCCCCTGCTGCCCTGGCTGCACCAGGAGCTGAGTCAGCTCTTTGGGTCTGACCACAGGGCAGCCTCTGCAGCGCAGGGCCGAGTCATCTCTGGCCTGTGCTTCTTTGGCCTGAACCAGACAGCGCTGACTCTGTGGCTGTTCAGCTGCCTGCAGAGCCGGGCCTCCAGCTTTGTGCAACGGCTCGTTGCGCAAGCCGCGCAGGTGTGCAACGGGCCGGTGCCACATCTGCATGCCACAAGGCAGCAGGGCAGCCCCGCAGCTGCCCGTGGCGCACAGACTCCCCACGCCAGCCCACAGCCCTCCAGCAGCACCAGGGAAGACAACGTGGAGGAGGAGCTTCCTGTCCCCTCAACCGCTGCCCTTGGAGAAGGTCCCAGCCAGCCTCCATCCATCCCGGCTCCGTTGCGGACTGACCAAGCAGCAGCCCAGCAGGAGCCGGGGGAGGCAGTGCCAGGTCCCTCCGGCAGCAGCAGGGCCAGGCAGCGCTCACGCAGGGCGCCTCGGCGAGCTCCAAAGAGGAGGGCCCGCAACTCTGAGGCCTCTGCACCTCCTGCCAAGAGGCCACCCCGCCGGCAGCACTAGGACGCCGCCCCAGCAGCTGGCGAGAACAGGGCCGGGCCTGCAGCTGGGGCACAGCCAACAGCGGGTTGGAAGGGACCTCAAAGATCGCGGATCTCCAACCCCCCCCGCCACAGGCAGGGCCACCAACCTCCACACGTAACACCGGACCAGGCTGCCCGAGGCCCCATCCGACCTGGCCTTGAACACCTCCCGGGACGGGGCATCCACAGCTTCTCTGGGCAGCCTCACCGCTCTGCCTGTGAAGAACTTCCCCCCGACATCCAACCTGAACCTTCCCTCCCTCACCTTCAGACCATTTCCCCTTGTCCCGCTGTTATCTACCCTTTCCAAGAGTTGACTGCAATAAAATCACAGAAAAGTCTCCATGCTGTTCCACCAGTGCCTTTGTCAGCGCTGTGCACGAGGGAGGTCTGAGCTCTGCTGGGCCTGGAGGCCTCCTGTGCTGCTGTTACTGCTTCTTTACAACCTCCCTTTACACGCTGCAAAGGCAAACGTCCACAGAGGAGGCACTGCTTCATTTCTATGCAGGGCACAAGGTGGCTCATCTCCACCAACAAACACTCTCATGTCTTTACACTGTCTTCTACTTGCAATCCCAAAGGTCTCACTCCACACCCATCACTGATACTGATCCCACTGATACATGACAGGCTTACAGGGTTACACAAGCGTAACTGAGTCTTCTGCACCTGCGCAGAGGGTTCAGGGTCTTTGATGGTTGTTTTGGAAGGTGTCCCCCTCCTCACTTTCACCACAGTTGGGCACAGGTTTTCTGAGGTGCTCTGCTCATGTAGAAGCAAAATTGCTTGTGACGGGTTCTTGGCAATATCCAGCAGTGTATTGCAAGCAGGCCCAATAGCCATAAACAAATGGAGATTGGAACTTGTTAGTAAACTTTGAAGCTCTCCACCAGCTTGCACAAGAATCAGCTAACTACGTCGTTTGTCTTTTACTCAGTACCTGGATCTTGGCTTTCAGTTATTACATGGGTAATGCAAAGCAGCCCTGCAAATGTTCACTGGAAGAGTGAAAAATGACATTACACAGCTGGCTCCACAAAAGATGGCTGCTGTTTCATTATCTTTTATAACTGCTAATTATGCCACACCAGGGTATTTAAAATTTACAAGAGAAAGTGTAAGGCCAAGAGATTTTTCTGCGTTGTTTTGGTCATGGATTTTTTTTTTTTTTTTTCAAAGTTTGAAAGAGACATTGTAGGAAGATAGAAAGGCAAGCCATTTGTCCCGGAGGGGCAGGATTGTGAAGTAGTTAACCACGTGGACAGGAACTCTTTACTCTGTTAATTCTTCATTTTTTCCCAAAGACACACTTTAATATACATGGGGAAAAACAACCAAACAAACAAACAAAAAAACCCCAAAACCAACAACCTGTGGTTAATACAAGTAAATAAGCAATTCAGTGTTTTGCAGTTTTACCATGTGCAGTTAAGTGAAAACTGGAGGAAGGCAGAAATAGGACCGCAGTCTCTGCATGGATGCTGCCCATGTAGCATACCTTGGTCTGTTTTAGCTCCTGGTTCAAACACATCACTTCACAACTTTTTTGGAGTTAAAACACTATTGTCCAGCATGGCTAACAAACTGCTATGTGAGCAAATGCAAACAGACTGCTCCTTAGTGTATGCTCTGACTGCTCTGTTAGTGTAACAGACCTGCACAACCTGCTTCCATTTACACAGAAACTTGCTCCTCTGGCTTAACAATCCACTTGTCTTTCCTCCTATGAATGTTCTTTACAAATTAGTCCTCCAAAAGAGCATAACTGAAGCCTTGAGCAAAATGTTATGGGGAAGTTGCAGGCAGCTCATGAGATAAGCAAAAACCTGAGTGCAAGGAAGGGTTACGTGTGTAGCACTGCTTAACATTTCTGTAACAATCTTTCCATTTCACAATGCTGTTTAGCATGCGTCATCATAATAAGTCCAATTTGGGGTCCATTTCATTTCAAGAGGAAAGGAATTAGGAGTTCTTTACTTACAGATGCCATTTCAATGCAGTTTGTGTTATATTTATTTATTTATAATGGTCTCACCTTGCTTGTTTATATAATCTTAAGGCAGAGGAAGAATGCAGTTAGCTAGAACACTGTGATCCAGTCCAACTGTTTGGTTGGAAAATGTTTGCTGGGCACCTTCTTGAAAACATATAAAGCTTCAAAATGTTTTCCTGAGCAGAAATTGTTGTTTATACAAGGTATACTCCTATGTCAGAGAAAAACAAACATCAAAAGCACAACGTGTAAGTCAGATGAAGAATCTGTAATTGGTTTGGGTTAAATACATTAAGCAGTCTTTTCCAGGGACACTTCCATCCAATCATACATAGCACAACAGCCCGTGCAAATCCACAGTATGTCAGTACAATCATCACACTTCCAGTCTGGAAAATCACCTGAGAAACAAACACCTTGTTATAAACAGAAGGCTAAGAGGATGCACTGCATCGTTTCCAGGAATTTTTGCAACCACATACCTAAATCTGATGCTTCCCTTGTTTCTGACGAGCAGTTTAAACACAAAATGAAACACCAGTATTTTGACTCACACTTTAATACCCATGCCGCGCTGCTTGTCCCTTTGCCAAGGGCTGATAAACAAAGGGTATGGGTAGGGCAACTGGGAAACTGAGTGTATCCTTGGTGAGTTTGACATCATGTTGGGAGAAAGTGTTTGTTTGTTTGCCTGGGGGTAAGAAGGCTCTGCGGAGCAGTCTGGAAAGGCTGGATGGGCTGAGGTCACTGGGATGAAGTTCAACAAGACCAAGTGCTGGGTCCTGCACATTGCCCACAACAACCCCAGGCCACGCTACAGGCTTGGTGCAGTGAAGCTAGAGAGCTGTGTGGCTTAAAAGGTGTCTTTGTTGGACACGTGGCTGAACAGGAGCCAGCAGCGTGCCCAGTGGCCAAAGCAGGCCAACAGCATCCTGACTTGTACAACAGCGCA